CGGTTCTTGCAGAGGCGAATAGTGAGCAATCTAAGACTATGTGTTTTATTATGAGGGGTCCGTCATAATGGCTGCAACAGATTTTTTTCCATTTTTTTATTAGATATATATATATATGGGTGGCGTTGATGTGTTCGATTCTAAATCTCGTGTTGATTATATCTACGCGTCAAGAAATATTGGGAATAGTGTATCATTTTTTTTACGTTTTTTTTTTTTTTTGTTTCTTAAAGTTTATTGGTTATTGGTATTGCATTCCAAGATATTTGCCACATCCTGATGATGTATATATTTATATATTTTTTTTTATGTGTTAGTAAAAAAGAGCAGTTATGATTGTTAAAGTAGGAGAAGTGTCTTATTATTCATAGTTAATAATTAAAGACATTCATGTTTTATAGCAGCACAGAGAAAAATATACTGAATAGTATTGATTTTAAAGACTTTATTAATATTGTGTAAAATAAAAATACTATATAGGTAACTACCTACATTTCTTTCTATATTTAATAATATGATATTTATATTAAGTTTTTATTATATATGATTTATTTTATTTAGTAATAAATAGTTTAAGATTTATATTTTCTACAAAACTTCAAAATAATCATTTATATATCTTATACTCTAAAAAAATAGTTTTTCCTTGTCGACATTTTTTTATAGTCTACTACTGAAAATCTTAATGAACTGTTGACCAATGATTTACTACTCCACTTAACTAAGCTATAAATATATATAACTAACTCTACTTGTTTTAAATACGATTCAAAAAATTCATAAAAGTATTACGTTTTGGAATATGAAATTAAAAACTAATATTAATATTTTTTGAAATAATTAGTGTTAACCATTGAAAGAATCATCTAGTATAGTCAAATATTAATATAACATATTCAAGTCAAAAACTCTTACCATTCACAACGTAGTACCCACTGATATCCAAATATTGTGTAAACACTCTAAGAAGACAAGATTAGTTGATTGCGCTAGCTTTTCCACTAGGTACTTCTACTTGTCACAATATAATGTACTTGGACAAATGAATTCTCAGAGGCTCTACTTTTCAACAAAATCCTAATTAAGAAAGGTTATAACAGCTTACAAAGAAGGCTCAATGTCTATGATAAAATATGGAGTTGAGCTCACAAGGATTTTATATAATTTAATGAATAGCTAATAATTTACTATTTTTAAATATAATTTTAATGTAGACTTGAAATTTACTAAATTTTATTGACAATTTGATATAATTTTCTATTTATTTTGACCGTTTTTGAGCTTTTAAAGACATTAGAAATTGTTCTATATTTTTTTTTCAAAGTTCCTCATAAGTAATGCTTTGTTATATCGACATATAAAATAATAATGTACAATATTTTTGACAAAAAAAATTTTAACTAATTGAATAAATAAAATATACCACATTAATAATATTAATTTAAAGCAATAAAATAAAAACTATCCTTTGAAACAAATGTTGATCCTCTTCACCCTACACTATCGCTCAGAATCGTATTTTTGTATACTATGAATTATCATAGAATTCAATTTAACCATAGCTATTACAATTACCTATTAAATTATTAAGTAGACTCATCAAAACCTAAAATTTAACAGAAGTTAGTTATTTGGATTTTTTTTTATTTTTGTCTTAGTAATTCCTTGCTTTTAATAGTTGCATTATTAAACACTTATTGTTATTTCGGATTAGATAAGAGTATTATTAAATACACATTTTAAAATTAATTTATATTAGTACCTATGTCAAGTGTCAACAAAATTATTGAAATTTAAATAAAACGTTTCACAGTATAAAATAATTTAATCTTCTTTTTACCTAGTTATTTTTTTAATTCAATCTGAGGAGGTGAGGTGGTTGCCTCATATACACTGAATCGAGAACTTCATCGTTCATAAATGCACTTCCTTATTTCTTTATTGTAATATTATTATTGATTAACGTTTTAAATTGGTCTAGCGCTTTGAAATAATATTTACATGTTATGATTTTTACCATATCATATATCCATAGTTCATAGGTCATAGCAATGCATAATAATTGTTTATACATAATACAGTAAGTTTTAAATCCTTAACACTTATGGATTCATGAAATTCATAGAACGTTTAGTAAGTTTATCATTTCTATAACTTATTGAATAGGAAATGGAAATTAAATTATTATCAACATTTAGAATATTTAAACAAAGTTCGGTAATTTTTTAGTGTATGTACCTAGTACGTACTCTTCGTTCTGAAGGGTTCGGTAATAAACTAATTTTAATGAGTTAGTTCATGAGCCAAAATTTATATTATTTATTTATTAGATAACTATTTTTATAAATAAAACCTTATGTACAATACATATTATGTTTTAGGAACTTTATCTAACACAGACGCTTAAAAAGGAAAATTAATTACAAAAAAAATTAAATAATTTAGTGCTGAATAAAAACTATATAATAAATTAACTATCATAATTATACACTTAGGGTATCTAAATAAATTTGATACAAAGTGTGTAGGAAAACCAAATTTAAATATATTAAAATATAATCCAACGGTGCCTTGTTGCACCGCCATATCTTTACATGAGAACCACGCCATAGAATTTTATACCTACAATGGAGGCAACGCAAACGATAACGATTATATCAATAATAGATTAAGAAATTTATGATTTTTGCCTTTTGGTGAAATTTGTTTTCGTATTAGTATAATCACCATAAATAATTTTTTCTGGTTTTTATTAATTTTTATGATAAATCATGCTACGACTTAGAGAAAGATACCCTAAGACAATTTTAATTCTATAAAAGTGCGTCACGAGCAAAACATAGTTTAGGAACTACGAATCTTACTAATTTTTATGAAAGAATAATATAGTTTAATTTCAGGCGCATCACCTAAATTCTGCCAGTTAATATCTTAAATTTACACATAATTAGTACTTTTTGAATTTAAGTTTTAACGTTGAGTTCAAAAATCATACACTTAAAGATAAAATATAGGACAAAACTACACACTTTCAAAAAGTTAAAAACAGACATTTTTTTAAAGTTGTTACATCAAAAATTCGCACATATTATAATCAATTAAAAATGTGTACATATGGTACTTTTTAACACAAAATATTTTATTTATCATCTATTTATATTTTATATTAATTTAAATTCAAAAATATAAAATTAAGTATAATCATCTAAATTATAAATTTTAATATACAATAAACCAATAAACGTGCAGTTTTTGTCAATTGAACTTTTAAAAATCGAAATTTAAAGTGTGTAACTTTTGAATGTAACTGAATTTAAAAATTATTTAATCCAAATAAAATTTAGAAAAAAAATAATTAACGGAAAAGTTATGTATGATACACGTATAAGAAAAAAAGGGAAAAGTTAATCCAATCTAACACAATTAATATTTAATATTACATAATTAATTACCTTAAGTATTATTATTAGCTGTTTGTAAACATTTAAAGTAATTTCAAATTATCGTATTAACATAACATCACACTACTCATACTGAAAGAGAATATAAATCAGAATTTATCTAATTTATTATTTATACATTTATCGTCCAAAAATAGATATATATATATATATGACTAAAACATAATATTATACTACAATATGTCTCATAATTAGGAAGTCAAGGTTTTGAGTTGAAAAATAATTGATTAATATTATCATTATAATTTGATAAAGTTTGATAATTGAAATATTTATAAAAAAATCCTAATTTAATAAATAATTATTATTAAAATACAAAAAAATATGATATAAATTTAAGTATATTTTTATAATTATGCTAAATCAATAATTAAATGCATATATTTCAAAAAACAAATACAATTATGTACCGATGAACATCAACTTTACTAGGTACTGTAATATTACTTCAATTCTCCATTATTCGTCATAAGCTATAATGATTGATTGTTCTCAAAATGTTTTTTTTCAAGTTTAAGATAAACATTATCATTCGAAAATGAATTATTTCACTCATGTTATAACTATACGGAATATAATGCAAATCGTTGAAAATGTTGTAAATATATTATATATACAAACAATATTTATTCGTGATACACTATATATATCTTCACTAGATACGTATTACTGATGTCTTTAAGTAGGTACTTCTTATACATTACTTACAAATGAAAAATTTTAATTATTTGATGGTTAATAATTATTCATATATTTTACTGTGGAAATATATGACTTAGATAATAGATATTCATTGCATTATACACGAATTCGATTTTTTTAATATCCTACCGTAACAAAAATATCATATAAGCAATAAATCATAAGTTTAAATGATAAATTAATAACGAATATTCAGTAAATGATATTTCTATTAGCAATAAATAGTTATTATACTCTGTTGAAATAAAAAATCATAAAACCATTTAAATAAAACGTTTATAACAAATTATAACTGAACTGAAATTGAATATTGCCATTTTTATGCTAATTTGTATATATCATTAATTTTAACAAATATTATTTTATTTTTTGTTTTAACTTCTTATCCACTTTTAATACAGTGCAATTAGATAAGCATAATATAAAACAACACTTTCATAGTATGTAGGTAACATAAATAATAAATTTATTATCTATTACTTATTATAATAAAATAACGATAAGAAGTGCACAGTCCATACTCCATACCTGTGTATATATTTTTACAATTTAACTCGCCGTTACCTACTTGATACTAGAATCGATAAAAAACAGTTTTCAGTTCGCATCTTACGACACGAATTTAAATCCTAAGTCCCCATTTAATAATTATTTTTCCTGTTCGACAACTCGCATTTGTATAGTCGCATGGCCCAATGAACTTTGATAACTTTTACTACAAACATAACATACAGCGGTAGATGCTTACGAATTGAATTAGCTTTTAATTTAATGTCCTCGTTGATTTCATACGTTTCATAGTTCAAAAAACCTGTTTTTATTATTATTATGGCACAGATGTATGGACAATACACAAAAGAATTGGGCGACTATGTCAAAGGAACACAGCGGAATATACCAGCACCTGTCATACACGACAGTACAAACGAAGAATTCAACAAGTATAGTGGGAAAATCAGTTCTACTTTGGAAGTCGTATGGCGCCATTCGTTCGCCAAGCTCAGTGAAGATTGGGTATTTCTCACGTTGTTGGGTCTCGTCATGGCCGTATTAAGTTTTGCCATGGATTATGGTATAGACTTCACCAACGAAGGTCAGTACCTACTACTATAACTATAAAAAATATTTAATTAGAAGCTAGTGGTAGGTATTATACGTCATACTTAGTCAAAGAACTAAATAAAATTGTATAATGTATACAAAATATTATATTTGTGTTATACTAAATTTGAAAAATATTGGCACATTATACAAGGTTAGGTATTTATAACAGACAGACAGCGTATAAATTTTTCTTCGAGTAATCAATAGTTCACAGGCTATATATTTTGAAAAAAATTCTAAAAAAAAGTGTATTTCTATATTTTTTCTGTTATGCTGATTTACAGAGCAGTAAAATGAATGAAATCACTTAATTACCTATACTTCGTTGAAGTAAATAAGTTTAGAAAATTTTGTTTTAGAATTCTACAACTGTAGCTAATATACGTACATACAGAAACATATTACACATATTTTCTTCAATAATGTAATTTAAACATATTTTTATTATTTTACCGATTTATAGTTTCTTAGTCAATCTGTTAAGCGTGACAATAAAATTAATATCTACTGATTAGCATTTGCACATTTTTAAACATTGATTTCAATAATAATTTTGCTCTAATGTCCAAAGCTAAATGATTTTTTTAAATTCTCTTTGTCAAATAGCACAATGGTTTTCGAAAAATAACAATAATCAATCACATAAATACCTAATAATAAAAAAAAAAATTCCAGACAAAAATTAATATTTTTAATCCAATCAAAACCATATTTATAATATACGTATTAGTTTGACTTTAAATTAACATAATATATTATAAAAATATTTTTTTCTAAAAAACAAAAATAATATATTAACACTATATTTTTTAATTTTAATTTTTATATCAATACATAAATTGTACATTGATTAAGTTAGAAAATGGAAAACACACAGCATTTTTAGTATTTCCTTTGTAATAAAAAGTATTTAATAATAATAACATGGTTAGAAATAACCATAACATCAATAATTTATCAAGTACCTACTTGTATATTAGTTTAAGAATCTCATTATAATAGTTAAACAAACAATAAAAAATAATATAATTATTATTAATTATAATTATCAATATAATATTACCTATATAAAATATTAAGATGTGTAGGTACTGATTAAATCTTTAGTTAGCTGTTTTTCTTTTTAATATTTTTTTCAATCTGAAATTAATTTTAATTAATCAAAATTATTGATAAAGTAAAATTTATTGACTGCGGTTGAATATAAATTTATAATTATCATTAGATAATGTAAAACGTAATGTACTATTCTGTAAGATATTTAAAAAACAATTACGGTCATATAAAATAAAAAATATTTCCCAATGTATATACTTACTTAGCTTAATAGACTAGAAATATAATTTTACAAACAAAGTTAAATACTAAGCAATAAAATATTAAACATTGAATTTAAAAATATAAACTAATAGAAGATAAATGATTAATCTTGAGTAACCAAATAATATTCAATTGAAATGATCTCAACATTAATATTTATGTTGATGAATTTATTTTTCCAATTAACAAATTAATTTTAATTTTAGATCGAAGTATAAGACTCTTTGTTATTTCATTTCTCGCCGTTAAATACTTAGTAATAAAATATTTATTAATTAATTGAACATTTTGTGATCAGGAAGAATATGGCTATTCAAAGATATGATGTTCAACCAGTATTTACAGTACATTGCCTGGGTACTGTTACCAGTCAGTTTGATAACATTTGCAGCAGGATTCGTACACTTAGTTGCGCCTCAATCTATTGGTACGCAATTTCAAATTTATAAACTATCCACTTATAACATTTTAAAATGGTTGATATTTTGTTTTATTTAGGTTCGGGAATACCAGAAATGAAAACAATATTAAGGGGCGTCGCATTAAAAGAATTCCTCACCTTAAGAACATTAATCGCTAAAGTAGTCGGTGTTACAGCAACTTTAGGTTCCGGTCTACCACTCGGCAAAGAGGTTTATGCTCTTAAATATTACCTTTATTATTTAAGAGCGTGTCAATGTATGCCAATTAACCTTCATGGTTTTATTTTGTATGTGGATTTTCAAATCATTACAAACTAACCTAACATCGTGTTTCGCACAAAATGGATTGTCAAAAAAAAAATTAGAACAACTACGTACTATATTGGATATATTTTGTGATTGGTACCTAGCTAAAGTCTTGATTATTGGAAATCAAATGAATTTACGTCCAAGACTCTCGCACAATACATGAATATTGTTACGCGGTTGAAGGACGTAACTATAATACTATTATTAGTTATTCAATATCCATAGAAGGATTTTTATTCTTCAGTTTCACATAACTACAAATTTAATCACTATTGCAAAAGGTTCTTATCAATAAAAAGATACATTAAGATTACAATTTTTAAATTATTTATATATTTTATAGTTACTGTATATTGAAAAATGGCCATTAATCACTGTATCTTTGAGTTCGCTTGTAAATACTCGTACGTATACTGAGCGATTCTTTTATAGAATAACACTCATTATTTAAAAATCTATTGACATTTCTAAAAATATTTTTTTACATGATTTTCAGTCGAAATAAAACATTTTTTCTTTTTTTTTATTAACAATATTTTTTAATATTTCTTATTGTTATACATTTTTAAGTCTTTTAATTTTTTTGAATGACAACATATTTTTAATTTCATATTTTAAAGCAGAATATTTTTTAGAGTATTTCGATATATACCTATAAATCAAAATTTGGACAAGTAGGTAGTTTATAAGTTATAAATATTTAATGCTCTGGCGAGCGGAGTAGCAGACTAACATTTTTAAGAGTATCTTTGTACCACTTCACTCCGCTCAACCAAACTTTAAATACTTATAGTAACTGAAAATTAAATAAAAAAATATTTTCCTGAACGTTAATAGATTTCGAAATAATATGCATTGTTTGATAAAAGAATTGTCCCTGAATAAAGTAAATTTCGAGCTTAATGCAGTTCCATTTCATTAATATATTATAATTTGATCAGAGCTGATAAGTTTCGAGTGTGAGTTTATATAATTTAATAATTATACGTTGGGTATAACAAATGTTACAAAATGTATATAAAAAAAACACTACTTAACGCGTTACTGGGGTATGGTACCATATTAGTTAACTTTTGCATTTTATGCGACGAATTCCAGGGTCCATTCGTGCACATTGCCAGTATAACAGCTACACTTTTGACGAAAGTCATAACTTCGTTCAAAGGAATCTACGAGAACGAATCACGAAACACTGAAATGTTGGCTGCGGCATGCGCGGTCGGAGTTGCGAGCTGTTTCGGGGCTCCTATTGGTGGTGTGCTCTTCAGCATTGAAGTAACGACCGTGTACTTCGCCGTGAGAAACTACTGGAGAGGATTCTTTTCGGCCGTCTGTAGCGCCACTGTATTCCGATTGCTGGCCGTATGGTTCAACAAGGCCGGTGCGTATATTTTATCCTTAGCACTCCCGCAACAAGGGTAATATTTCTCGTCCGTCTTCAATATATATAAATATGTATAAACCATCATCATAAATCGAAAATGTTATTATTATATAGGCACGTATAAGTATAAAGGGGTGATTTTGGAATTTAAACCACCTCCCAATAAAAATATTTCATGTATACATTATCCAAATAGAACTCCATGATTTCCTTAAATATCAATTACAAATGTCAAACACTTCATAAAAACGTCATAAGTCATAACACTCATAACGATTAATTAACGATATTTTGTTTATTAACGATGAAAATATTTCCTTCTTTAATTATGAGTCCCCACTGCCTAATCTTTTTTTCTGGTTACATGCTTAATGTAGCATGATATATAAAATAATCTATTTGTAAACCTGTTTAGAAACCGTAAAGGCTTTTTTCCCGACCCATTTCACAATGGAATATCCGTTCGATCCTCAAGAGTTGACCGTTTTCGCTTTGCTTGGGTGAGTGCCTCAATTCAAGTCTGCGTGACATTACGGTGTATATTACGTTTATGCGTATGTTTACCTTAAGCGTCTCGTATAATATAATATGTACTTATTACATATATTATATCACATTGTAGGGTAGTCTGTGGAATTATCGGAGCCGGTTACGTTTGGGCACACAGACAATACGTATTGTATATGAGACAAAGTAAAAAAATGAACTCTTTCCTACAAAAGAAGTAAGTGAGTATCATCACATGACCGTATTGTAATATTTAATATTTCACGTGCAAAAAAGGAAAATTAATTTTAAATTTGCTCATTTATACATTATGTTATAGCCGTTTTTTATATCCGAGCCTTATAACGTTTCTCACGTTGACAATCACATTCCCTCTAGGCACTGGCAAATATATTGCTGGCGAACTGAACGTACACGATCAAGTAAGAACGAATAATAATAATAATAATGTTACCGTTGAAAAATACATACTACATTATATAAACTATAAACTAATTTATTTTTTCTTTTTAGTTAACTGGGCTATTCAGTAATTTCACGTGGACAAAGACTGAGTTCACCATCGAGGAGGCAGAAATGATGAATCATTGGCGTACAGAAAACACCAACGTTTTCATTTGTTTATCGGCTTACATAGCTTATAATGTAATATTAAGAAACATTATTTTAACTTACCAATGAATAATAATGGTCACTCAAGCACATGTGTTTTTAGTTTGTATTCTCTATAATAGCATCGACCATTCCAATACCATCCGGTAGTTTTATTCCAGTATTCAAAACTGGGGCCGCGTTCGGTCGAATAGTCGGCGAACTCATGCACTTATGGTTCCCGTACGGTGTTAGACACGGGAAATTCATCACACCTATAATACCGGGTAAACATTAATAAAACAATTTGAAAAATATATAAATAGATAGTTTCTTATGTCAATAATTTTTGTATGACAATATCTAATATTTAGGAGGTTATGCCGTAGTCGGAGCAGCAGCTTTTGCTGGGGCCGTTACACATTCCATATCAGTGTCTGTAATTGCTTTTGAAATGACGGGACAGATCACACACATTGTACCTGTCATGGTATATTTTATGTTTAAAAATTGTATTGATTAATTATTAATTATTACTATTGCCAGTATTCAACTGATTAAACTTTATAATTAATTTATTAGATCGCCGTGTTAATATCAAACGCTGTAGCAGTATTACTACAACCTTCACTGTACGACAGTATTATACTAATAAAAAATCTACCCTACTTGCCAGATCTTCTCCCGTCCATATCGGGTATAATTATTAATTTTAATTTATCTCGTATAATCGAAACTGTTTACTTAATAATTAATAATATTTAACTTGTGTTAATAGGTATTTACAGTGTGTATGTAGAAGATTTTATGGTCAGGGATGTCAAGTATATTTGGTATAATATGAGTTACAGAGACTTGAAGAAGGTTCTGAGGGAAAACAAAGTTCTTAGAGTGTTTCCGTTAGTTGACAAACCAGGTAATACTAAACACTCGTTGTAAATTATCGCAATACACTAATCATGTTTAAGTTTTAATAATTATTAATTTTAATGTTTTATTTCAGACTCAATGATATTATTGGGATCGGTACCTCGAATTGAACTGATAAAACTGATCGATAGACAAGTGGGTAAAGAAAGGCGAATGCAAGTAGTTGCTAAATGGCAGAAAGAAGCACAAGAGAGACTTGACGAGGTAGAAAGAAGGAGAAGGGATAACAAAGAAAGAAGGCCTTCCAGATTTGAAGTCACGCCGGCACCAGATACTCTACAAAGAAAGTATTCAATTAGTTCGCAATCACTTTCTACGAATCCCATGATTAAGGTATGTAATAACTTTTACACAGTACATACTAAAACTTTATTTGCATCATAAGTAGATTAGAAAGTCGAAACCAGGATTACATTTACATAAACTTATAATTACATGACACGCGGACAAATAAAATAATTGTTATCAACCTTATTCTAATAATATATTATTGTGTAAATATTATATCTAAATTTGATTTACAAATATATTATACTAAATAATTTTGTCTTAAAAATAAATATGATCTTATGAGAATAAGTATTTTATCGTTTGAGCCATGGCATCAACCCCTAATACACAATATTTAATTTAATTTTAGGTACAAGGCGGTTCTTCATTAAAAGAACATCCGAAAAAATCTATTTTAAAAAAGACCAATTCATTCACTTTACATAACCTGACACCAATGATGACTCCGTCAGCGACACCGTATTCGACGATAACTGGAGCCGAGAGTCGGTAATTACTAATATTGTAAAACGACTTAAAAATTTTTTATGTAAAAATGATATTGTAATTGTACACATTTCCATTTTGGACATTGTAAATATCTACAATATAATATTATATGGCTGCTGCTTACGAATTTATTTAATTATTAACATTTTTATTTAATTATATAATATTTTAATTGCCATGTTTGTTATAGCATACGACTAGCGTTCGAAGCTATATTTCACAAATCTGCTACGCTTCGAGATGCAAATCCAGAGCAGCAGAGCTTAACAGACATCACAGATAAGGATAGAAGTTCGTCGCAGATTATACAAGTGTCTAAAAAAGTTCAACTGGTATAACATAATATTTAAAAACATAATTCAAATCATTATTTTCATCTTCGAGATTTAGTGTACTTAACACAATCTTTTGTTTATTAATTTTCTCACAGCCCAAGGAGAGAGTCATAGATATGTCACCAGAAGAGCAGAGCGAGTGGGAACAAACAGAAATGGACAAGATTTTAGATTTTGGTTCCTGTCACATTGACCCGGCACCGTTTCAGTTGGTCGAGAGGACGTCATTGCTTAAGGTCCATTCGGTGTTCTCTTTGGTCGGTGTCAATCACGCTTACGTCACTGCCATTGGTCGCCTTGTCGGCGTCGTTGGACTAAAAGAAGTAAGTATTAAAATGCTTTGAATTTTAGCAAAAAAATTTTTATGCGACTAAAGAATATAAAAATTACTGTATTATAATTACTGTAATAGTTGAGAAAAGCCATAGAAGACACCAACTCGGGAACCAAACTCGGACACCACAAGACATCTGGCTTCCGTAGTGCTGCAATGGAATCGCTATTAAGTAATCGACGGATAGATGACGACTATGACGTGTAAAATATATGCATAGGTATATTTTGTAAAGGTGGTTCAACATTGATGTTTTATAGTACGAAAACATACCTATATTTTGACAACGTACACTACAAACATCAGATCCGTTAAAAAATCTGAAAACATATTAAAATTTCTTTATAATTTACTTAGGATCAATCATTAACTTTTTCGATTTTTTATATAACGAATATATCTTAGCTTTTATCTTCCTTTTAAATTATATTTTAAAACGAAAAAAAAATTAAGAGAATAATGATTAAATGGAAAAAATTCAAAATACTGGCATTATCTATTTCAAATAAGCTTCTTAAAGAATTCAAATTTCTTATCGTAACTTTGCAATTACGTTGAATAAAAAGACAAAAAGTAAATATATGATTTTTAATGAAAAATAATATTACTCATTGACTATAAATATTGGTAACGTCATGTGCGTGTACATACAAGCGAAACCTCTTTTAGATTATAAATACATACGTCACACACTAATGATAACTTACTACGTACACACTCATACACTTAAAAAATATCCTAAAATGAACCTCATGAAAACGATTGGTATCGAATCTCCTTATATAAAATATTATGTAAGGTACCACACATTAAATTCAAAATGTCAAAATTGTCTTGCCAGCAATTTGATATGCTTTTGCTAAATTTTAAACATAAAATTTAATGAATACCTATATTGTTGTATAATAAATACTTAAATATATGTACTTTATTTTTATTCTGTAAAATTATTAAAATAAAATAATTATTATAGTTATAATAAGATTAGCATTGCATAAATACCCATATGTATAGTCAATAAGTCTATATACTTACCATAAATTAAATTTATTTCATGTTATATTCATCCTTTGTTTAAACAGGAAGCGTAACCCCAACATCAGGGATGTCATTTGAGGGAACAAAGTGTGCGGTTGCACCTTTTACTTTAAAATAGTAGTAATTAGCCTGCGCCCTACTGAAATAACATTCAAAATTAAAATTTCTTAAATGGTATTTTTATTTTTATTTTCACATTTATCAATATTGGTATACTGTTAATTATTATGATTGTTAATTATTTATTATATTTTAATTTTAAAATTGATTTTTTCTATTTATTTTGATGCAATAATTTAGTACGTACAATTTTTGGAAATAACTGAAAGTAGAATTATGTACACATATGTATATTTATTTTAAAATGGCCTAGTGAAATTTCAAAATGGCCTGCTTGAAACCTTGCATACTCAAAAAAAAAATCTGAAATGACACCCCTGATCTAATGGTGAATATGAATTTTCGAAATTTAAAATTTATTCCTTCACTTAAAATTAGCTTCAAATGTGGTTTTCATAGGAAAACGGTTTTTTGAAGCCTTTTGTTGTAATTTTTTTTAAAATCAAATAAGTAATTACATCAAAAGGTAGAACGTTATTCCAGTAAACATTTTAGCTTGTTTCAAACAAATTTACAATTACCTTACACTGTGAAAAAACGGAATTATTAGATTTTTAACAACAACAAATCAACAAATGACTGTAGGTCATAAAAGAAGAAAATTTGTAAGTATATTTTAACATTTTTATTTTTATTATTTTCTGACATCTCATCTAATGCAGGGTCGTCATTTGGTGGAGAATCAGGGTGTACGATTACATCCTTTACTGTTAAAATATTACTATTTGGCCTGCGCCCTTCTGAGATAATATTCAAAATTAAATCTTCTGAAATGGTATTTTTACTTATATTTTTACATTTACAATATATACCACGGCGTTTATGATAGGCAATATGGCTACTTTGTTGTAGTGTATCCGTTTTTGTATAAAAAAAACTTATTAATATAAATATAACTACACCTAAGCCTAGCAACTCAAGTTTCAAGTACACGGAAATCGAATAGCATATTAATATTTTAATTACAAAAATAATCAAAACTACATTTTAATTACTTCACACATTTATTTTTCATGTTTTGAACTGACAGCGCCGCGGGGACTGCTTACGCATTACATCACACCCATATAATATTTATATAACTCAGGTTAAGTCATAGTATTTATATTAAACGAATCTCTAATTTACCTATCTATTAAAAAATAAAATAAACATAGTTTTATTTCAATATTTAGTTTAAATTCTCAATACTTTTCGCTGTTTTTATACACAATTTTATCATTTTTTTATGATGACATCAATTTACTAATCATGTCATTTGAATCAATGGTATTATCTATAATATATACTTACTAATTAGATACTTTTAAAAATTTTAACTTTAACCTCACTTAATTTTTTTTTTTTTTTAATCGAAACCTATCTATAAAATGTATCAATTTAATTACTTGTTTATTACTAATAAACGTAATAAATAACGATTTTAATGTTCTTAAAACTTACTCAATATTATTTATTCATCACCTAAAATTACATTTACAGTGATTTTACTTACTTAAAATTTGACTTAACTAATAAAAGATTATTTAAAACTAGAAATTTTTAAAAACTGAAACTAATCCATAATATAAGATATTTAATTACAACATTTAAGTCTTTATTTTAAAGAGCTCACTGCCTCCATCAATAAGTATGTAACATGGTCAGATGGATGGTTATCCAGTTTAACCAGTTAAATACATTATGTCCATAGCCGCATTGTTTCAATTTTTTTAAACACAAATTTATATGCAGACCATGAACCTTGCCTGGAATTTATCCATTTTATTTAAGCCAAATACTATACAGCTAATCGTGTTAAATGTGTAATAATTGAAAACCTAATGAAGAATTTGAGTTTTTAATACACAACACAACTACTCTACTTACAGGTACCTACCATGTAAAATTGTTTTTTTAACAATAATGTATGTCTTATTATGGATATTTTAAACATGAAACAAATGACACCAAGATCATGATTAAAATAAAGTTTAAAACACCCATAAGTGAATAATGCGAGCTTATTCCAATTGACTAAATAATTTAAAGCGCTCATTTAAAATGAAACATTAAATTAATTTATACATATTAAGCAAGTATAAAACTTAATGAAATGTATTCCTTTATGTTTTATCATAATGTACACAATCATTTAAAACAAAGTTAAAATTGTTAGAAGACACTGAATATGTTAACAAACATATTGTAATATGTCTAGACCACTATAGCTAGTGATCAATGAAAAATATTAACTAGATACATTTAAAACATTTGTTGAGAAATCATAACACATCGTGTGTGAGCTGGACGATAACCAAAAACAATGAAACTTAATTTTAACTTGATGAATTTAATATTTTCCTCCACATCAACCTTAAAATTTTTAATTAAATATTATTGATAATGCAAATTTACTTTAACATTAACTTAACTAAAACACATTATTTTCAATAACTTATTTAAATAAGTTAACTTAAGTAGACTGAACTAAAAAATTTTTGATGAATAAAAAACAAAAGATTAAACAATAAAAAAAAAACAAATTTCAGAAAAATATAATTATTGGGTAATAAAGTGACACTTAACAGTATTAATTTTAGAAATTATGTACATATAACTGTGGTATGTATCCCACGTTATTGTAGTATAGAATATTAGTATTATATTTAATACTTGTGTAAATTTCCAGTCAGAAAACAAATTGTATACTGTTTGAATAAGGTTTAATTACTGCTTCTACATTTTTAGTTATGAGAACATACGTTTTTCTCTTTATTTGATTTACAATATGCACAAGAAAATGTTTCAATATTACGAATCAATGACCAGAATTGTATTTTTTTTAGATATCTGTGATCTTATTTAACCACATGGGTCACAGAAAGTATATTGTTTATACTTGTAAATAAGTAGATATAAAATTAATGTATTTTCAATTCAACAGACTTCACTAAGAATTTTAGATTGGTTGTCAGTCATAGATACAAATATGATCATGAATTAACAAATTAATTTGGTCTGTTTATATTTGTATCTATCTTAAAGGACTTACTAAAATACAATTTTTATTGTAAATTTATGCCAAACTATTAATGAATCTTTTTTGTCAAATATTTAATATCAACATTTTCTAAACGTGATATAATAATTTATAAAATATTTTAGCTTTTTAAAATGTTGATAGTCATTTTAAAGTTTTTTTAATGTATGCATTAACATAATATTATTGCAAATGAATAAGATTTTAACATAAATTTTATATCATACATTAATACTGATAAAAATGTAAATAAAAAATTAAATATATTTTTGTAATTTAGTCTGTGCTTAAAAGACCATCTCTACTTGGAATCACTTTTTTCTTATATAATGAATTATAAAATTAAACACAAACATTAAATAAACCTACTTAATACCTACCATCAGCAGAGCTAAGTCTCAATTTATAATTTTTAAATGTCTGTATAGTTTATACTCAAATCATATACATCATAGAACATGGGAAAAACTATTAGATAGATAGAGAAAAATTAAAATATAAGTCTGATAATAAATTTAAACATTTATTTTGAAAATTGGTTAAGTAAAACTACTCATTTGGAGGTTTTCAACTTGTTCTTGGTTGAGCTCTTCTGTGATCGTAAAACTTTAACGACAATTTTCTGTTCTTCAACCAAAAACGCTCTGAGGATCCTAAAAAGTAAATAATTATACATTAAAAATACCATTAAATCATTATTATAATATAAATATGCATATGCATGAATTATTGAAACAAAACTTATTGCAACTTTCTAGCAAAATAATTGTTTAAGAATGTAAACCGTCCATGACGCAGCATGTTTTTTTAGCTTAATATTAAATGCTGACTAAAATAAAAATGAATACTCATTAGCATAACATATTGAAATAACTATATAAATTCTTTAACTTAAAAGATATCTTAAACAAAACAAACAAATAAATTTACCAATTAGTTTCATTTTTAATTTCTTAACTCTTAACCTTAGAAAAATGAATACAAGAACTATAAAATATAGATAGAAAAAAATATCATTCTTACATAATATTAAGGTAATAAATTTTTCAAACTATTTCAACCAAATAAAATATAAATCTTTTGTCTACAAGCAAAGTGGGAAAAAAATTAAACTAATTAAACTAATCCCTAAAAGATAATTATAAATGTAGAAAACACTAAAAAGCAGTCCTTTGTTTTGTGAAAATTAAAATTAGAGAAAATATAAATAGTACTATTTAAATTATCCTTAAATAAAGTCATACCCTCAGATAAATTCCACAAAAAAATTAAAAAGCTTATGTATTTAACGTAAAGTGTACCACAAGTAATAACATTAATATATAATTAGGAATTAAATACAATGCCAACAAAAAATTAATGTTAATGCATGCTTTTTAAAATGAATGTTTTAAATACAATTAAAAACTAAAATTCAGTGGCCAAAAAATGCTATTTCAATAAAAAAAATTGTGAGATGTATAGTACTATAAAAACTATCAAACAAATTCTTAATGACAATATTATGCTTTTTAACTTCTAATCGTAGACACAAAACTCATTTATAAAATATAGTTTAACTAATAAAATAAAATAAAAATTACATTTTACTATAAACCATTACAATTTGATAAATATTATATCAACTAAATGTACAGCAACATGTAGCCTTAGATTAAAACTCATTAGTTCTAAGAGTGTTCAATGCTGTAATTACTTTAGGGAGTTTGTATCGATTAAATCACTAATGCTATCATGATGCAACCTTCTTTACTCCCTTACGAGATGTCAGTACAAACACTGTATGTTTTCTCTCTGATACATGTGCAACATAGACAAATTACAACCATAAAAAAACAATTTTATATGATTAAATTGTATCTTCATAGCACATAGATAAGTAAGAAAAACAAATATTACGCTGACTTCATACTAATATAAATTAAACCAATATTATTATATTTCTAAGAACTATATAATTCACACATTTATTAAAAAATAAAATATATTAACTGTGACATTAATAACATTCAACTTCAAAAAAAAAAATAGAAATTCATAACATATTAACAAGCTACAGTAGGCATATTTTTGATAAAAAATCATTGTTACTCTATAGACAATTATAAAACTAAGAATTATTAAGATGGATTAATTTTAGTTCAACGATTAATAAATTTTGGATAAATACTTTGACATTCAATATTAAAATAAGGTATCTTTTTTGAATTAATTATAATTTAATACATTAAACAGTGGATAGAAAAAAAATGTATAAATAACATACTGAATAATGTTTAAGGGGATTAGAAGTGGTGATTTTTCCTTCTTCATTCAACATCCACACAACATAAAATTATAGAAATTCTATTTCCAACGTGCCAAATGACATAATGAAACGAAAAAAATTCTAAACAGATTTGAATTTGTCATCAAGTGCACTTGAGATAGACTTTTCACAATTTTTGGATTAAACCAAAACCTTAATAATGTTATACTAAATTATTTTAACAGGGTAAGGTACATATTAAATGCTTATAATTGATGACAAAACGTACACATATATATATACCATAATAATACATAGTATAATTTTTTTTTTTTTTTGTATAAGAATATTGATTTTATGTTGAATACTGGTGTATAAATTAAAATCATAACAATTATACCTAACCTATTTTTCAATCTATAACATAACATGGTATCTAATGCAAAAATATCTACTGTTACAAATTAAAACCAAAATTAGTATCAAACCAAAATAATAATGTTTAAGAAATAATCAGCATTTTACATACTTTTCACGGACACAACTATGACATAAAACTCCACCGTATGCTCGTTTAACTGTCTTCTTGCGTTTGCACATACGACTCTTCTCAATGGCTCTAGCCGGCTTGATACCATGTAACTTGATTTTACAGTTACCGCACTTGGGTACACGCTTTGGCTTTTTTAAGTATTGATAGACTAAACGTCCACCAGGAGTGCGTACCCTGAAACACACAAGATATTAAATATAATGCTACGATATAAAAATAAACAAAAAAAAATAGTAAAATAAATAATTCTCGAACCGATTGACATAATACTCACATACGCCTCCTATTACTTTTGGTGTTGTACGAAAGCCGCCTCCTAAATACTACACTTTGACCCATGGTTGGTCCTGAAAGCAATTAGAAAAACTACGTAAAATAAGGAATTCAAAATGCACGACAACAAAAGATAAGCGTTTAAAATTATTAAGATCGAATCGGATGAAAAATAATATAACTTACCTTTTTAGTGTCAGTGACGAAGAATAAGTAATAAAAAGATCCACACACGATCACCAGTGTGTGATCGTCAGTCAACAAAACCGAAAACATTAACCAATAATGATAACGTGAACATGGATGAGACCAAAACGTCATGGAAGAAAAACCCGCGAAATACGTAACTATTATGACGGTTTTAAATTTCCCTTTTTTTGTACAAACCACTATTGAACAATAAAAATTAATCGTACATTCACACATCACACACAAATACATTACTGTATATTATTATTTATTATACATTATAGTGCATTGTGCATTACGTTTTACGCATTTAAATGTCAGTCACTGACAGGTGAGTGGACAAGATTAATTGTCAAATCAATAACATAAAAATATTTTGTGTGAATATTTTCATTTATAATTTTTACCAACACAATATACCATATTGAATGGATTTGTCCACCAAGCCCTTTAACCTTGTAGCCGTCTTTGGTGACACACTGACATACGTATCAAATACATTCACTTAATTACATAAACACTATTAATTATGATTTTTATCGTAACAATGATTACATTTAAAAAACAATGAAATCTTTAAAAATAATATTTTATCTTGCATCACTATGAGATTTGACCTTGATATGTTTCAATTTAAAATGTAAATTTTTTTTTTTGGAACACACTCATACCTTTAATTATTTTGTGTCATAAAATAAACTAAAAAAAAAAAAAAAAATTACATAACTTATGCTTATTGTTAACTGTTTTATAGATTGTATAATAAAAATATTTTATAACAAAAAAAAAACAAAAATTAAATTAACCAGGAAAACAGCTCTCCAATTTCAGTCTATATTATGTCAATTAATAAAATTTAAATTTAAATCCAACATTGTAATTGATCAATTATATTATGTTCAAGACTTAAATGCAGTAGTTGGAGTTTAATCAAGAAAATCATAATAACTAGACATAAAAAACTAATTGTTTCATATTTGATGGACATAGAAAGAAAAATAGATTAATGAACTTGTTTAAATTAATCAACTTTTATGATTATTTAAATAAAGATTACTTTAGCTATACCCGTGCACTGTACAAAATGCATTTGTATTAATTTTAACGCCTAATGCTAACATTAGGTGTATCACATGTAAATAAATAATATTTGTAATTATCTGATTTGGTGTGTGACAATACAATATAGTTGATAAATTTGACATAAAAACTTAACATAATTGCCCAGCATTGTTTTGTTTTGACCATTTAACAGAAGCATTTTAATTTACAAATTTTTTTTTTCTTTGTTGAACCAAAATTTGATTTCCTTTCCATTTTGGATCAAAAATCAATAACTCATAAAGCTTGTAAAGAAATATCAAAATACATTGGGTATTTTACTATTAACCTAAATAAAAATTATTCACTATAATACTAATTTCAAAGATTAATGGATAAAATAATATCTATGTATATTTGCTAATTATTTAAAATAATAACAACTCGATTTTTCATCAAATTTACAGTTAGGAATAGACTTAAAACTTACTTGGCAATGTACTCCATTAAAAAAAAAAAATAAAAGAATCAGATGAGTAGTTTAACGTTTAAGAGAACAAGTGTGAGAAAGATTTCCATTTTCACTTTTATAAATAAAATATATTTTCTATAATTTAATTTACTGCTATTAACTATTGTCATTTTAAGATAAATAATAACTAATAATCTTAAAAATTAATGAAATATACAATAAAAGAATTAGTCATAAAAAATTAATATTTTTATTATTTTATTAAGTTTGATTTTTAAACTATCTCTATATGAGTGGTTTAATAAACAATACACAATTAATATTACTAATATATAATAAAGAATTTATTTTAAATAATTATAAATATATACAAGATGAGTGGCCATTTTTGTAATGCTAATGGTTTCTGAAATGGCAAAATAATTTTAAATATTTTTACACACAGAATTTATTAGCACACCGAAACATTTAGCTATAAATATCTTAAAAACAAGTCATAATAAGCTTAATAAAAATAATAAGAAATCAAACAAAGGTTAATATTTTAGCAAAATGATAATTTACATAGTATCTAACAATACATAAACATGTCATACTTTTTATAGCAATATAAAATAACTTTTATACCGCTATATATGAGAAACTTATATCATAAACATAATAATAGTATTATTATTTTTTTTTTTTGTTTTTGGTATAATATATAACCAATTTTTAATACATTTTATTTCTTTTTTTTGGTCATTAAATATTCAAAGAGTGCATTTTGAAATGAACAATGAAAAAAACAACCAACCGATATTTCCAAAGTGAATTACACTCGTCCATATACATTTTCATCGCTATATGCAATGTACAAGAAGTAATCTTCTTCACGGTGGTCCTAAAAAACAAAAACAAAAAAATGGTTCAAATTAATAAAAGGCATTTAAGCATTGACCTTGGAAACACTCACATTGTATAATGATCCCATTGTGGCACTGGTTGGTGGAATGACGTTGTTGACGAAAAAGAACAGGGCGTCTTCGGGACGCAAGTGAACGCGCTTTCTGATAAGGAAGTAAAACTGGCCGACCGTCAGGTCAGAGGGTACCAGGTACTTTTTCTTATCAAGCTCGCCGATACGCGATTTAGGGGCCTTCTCAACGATCACCTTTAAAATTAAATAAAAACGTAATACAAACAAGACAACAACAACAAACAAGTAAACAACAATGACGGCGGTAGAGCAATAATCAAAGAGGAGAAACCCGACATTGACCTTTGCCTCGATAAAAATAAACGAATTACGTCGTGGACAATGGCCAACAATACTACGGGGAAAGTAAGAAAATGAAAAGGGCAAAAATGTTTGGGACATTTCATGAATTCCGAACTGCCGTCATCGTCGGACTCTGTCTCACCGGAACCCTGTCGGGATACTTCTTCCGGATTTTCTCGCCTTCAGTCTTCCTTTTCTCGAAAACGTTGTCTTCTTTGTACTGGAACTTCATTGTGTATCGCGAAGTTTAACAACACAAAGGCCGACGATAGACGACCTGATGAACGGAAACGGTCTGTATCGACTGACTGAGCAGCAGTTTGAACGCAATAGACGGGCTCACAGTAACAGAAGTAACAAATAACAATGACAATATACGTCGTAGCCACAGAGTAGCGGGGTACGGGGTTTGTTGTTTTCGTTGGGCATGGTCGTGCGGGGTGCGGGCGTCAGCTGACCGACGGCCGTACCAACCGTACGGGCCGCCGCGGTGGAAGGCTGCGAACGGCCATCGCGGCCAAGTGGATGGACGTCGGTCGACTGATGGACGACAAACGGGTGGACGCCAGCCGCAGTCCAAATCGGTGCACGGTTGTGGCCCTTTCGACCGAACCCTGTTGGAAGTTCGGGCGTCGTGGTTGCCTGACCTGAGTGAACAGCCCCAGCTGATCGCCGCGGAAACTGCGACGATAATAATATGAGTACAATAAGACCCACTAGGCAATGGGCATTGGGCATTGCTTACTGCGCAGCAGTGGCGACATCGCGGATGACGTTACCCTTTGTTCCCGTGTGGCTCGACCGAGTCGACGGTGCAGCTGACGTCCGCGTTGACGTAGGTCCTTGTCTTGTAATCGCGCGATACTTACAAATATAAATGCGTGCTATTGTTTTTTGCAATAAACGGCCAGGTGAAGCCGGTCCGCTGCTCGTTTACTAAAAAAATTTAAGCGTATGCTGGCATCGGCTAAAACGATTTTTTTTTCAGTTCCAATTTCCCAGTTCAGTACCGTCCAAGGGTGTGCTCAAACTTCACATTATTTACAGAGCATACAGTACAAAGTATAAACATGAATACCGACCCCATTTCCTCTAAAATAAAAACATAATTTATGTTAAGTATCAAAATATAAATGTATTACTGTTAAATTATATCTAAACTAGAAAGAAAAATTATTATTATTTGATAATCAATGCGATTATTTTCCATCTAATACCACCGTTCATTAGTACCTACCCTACTGGCTAATGGCTACTATACCTACGAGTATTTTGTTCTGATAAATTGAAAAGTAAACTTGAATTTACAATTTAAAAACATTTTTTTCAGTGTTTCATTTACTTTCGTTTTATTGCCTATAATATTTTATGTTAAAATTATATCTGCGTGTTATTATTTGAAGTAAAACATACCTATCGCTTATCGTTCACAAATATAAATAAAAAGTGTATCACCAATTTTTATCTCAAAACAATTTTTTAATGTAACAAATATGTAGATACCGATTAATGAAAATTAAAAACAACCAATGTAAGAACTGAAAAAATATGTTTTGCAACTCCCTCTCAGACTTACACATTTTTTCCATTTGTAAGCAATGATTACCTTGTGAATTACCTTCAATCTTGACCATCATAAAACTTATTCGATTGTAATATTATTGTCTAAGTTTTTCAGAACTATTATAGAACCAAAATACTATGTAAAGAAGAACTAAGGGAAGGGGTAGTTCATACTTTACGTTTTTTTATAGATTTGTATTTTTAATTGGATAATGTTGATGTTTATATGTCAATGACATTAAAAGTTTGTGTCTATTCACTTATTTTTATTCATATATGTAATAAATACTAAAGGTTGCAGAAAAATTGTTAATTATAAAAAATTCATTATTTTGTTTAAAATTTAAATAATAATAATTTTTTTCATTTTTGAATGTGTATCTAAGTTAACATTTCATAATAAAGCGGAGAGCTCTATTGGCATATGTAAATTATTTAAACTCTATATTAATTCCTGAAACGACGCACATTAACACATCTGTTTTCCTCAAAAAATTACAACAACAATTTCGAGCTAATCAAAAGTATTTCAAACACGTCAACCAAGTAACAAAGATACCTACAAACATTTACAAAATGACCATATTATGTCTATGTACAATTGATATAGCCATGGCTATATTGCAATTTAATATATATATATATATATATATATATATATATATATATATATATATATATATATATATATATATTATGTATAGGTAGGTACCATAAATAGTTCATAATATTACACCATTGACAATAGACGACGAAGTAGGTAACATGATTCTATAATATAACATGTATCCACAGAATTAATACATAATTTAATATTATTACATATCAGTAAATGGGTAAGCGGGAAAAAATCATGAAAATGCCTGCACTTTTTTTTATTACTCAGTTATATTGATAAGATTTTTAACATTTTGACCGATTTAAGCAAAATAGGTACAGTTTACCCAATTTCAGTGGCGTAATTATTATTATTATATTATGGGATATATAATGTATTAGATAAACATAAAATGGGGGGAGACTTATAACCATGCCCTTAAAATTATATATTGCATATTATATCCGTGATTATAACATAATATGAGTAATTTTATAATATTATATCAAGTATAAGTTTATGCATTAAACATATAAAAAAAAGTTTTTAAGTTTCTAGGGGTTAGGTATATAAAATTAAATTTAACAACAAAAATAAAAACAAAATTTAAGTTAATAAAAAAACATAAAACTCATATGTTTTAAATTTTGAAGCCAAATAGAAAATTGTGATAATAATATGTTATAATTTGTAAGCTCTTTTTGCTAGTTTTTTTCGTGAGTACCAACCTATTTTTGTACGATTCTGGTAAATGAAATCAAAAACACCATATAAATAAAAATAATCAAAGTATAGGTACTGAATTACTTATTTAGGCGAGGATCGATAAAAAAAAGGCCGGGATGCTAAATAATTTATTGGGCAAATAACAACATTTTTTTTTTGGAAAATTTAAAATATATAGATTGTTTATAAAATATTAAGATATTTTATTTTGCTGCAAAAGTATTGAAAATACGTTAAAAAACGTAAAAAGGTACCAAGTTACAACAAACATTCTATTAAAATTGTACAATATTATAAAAAAAAAAAATAATAGAATTCCTAAAATTCTAGTATCTAAATACACTTATAAATTTATATAAATAGGAGCAAATTATATTATAGGGCAAGAAATACTATAGCATCTGTAGCATCCCACTATCCCAGCATACTAGCCTGCAATCCACGCCTATACATATTTAATACTTTATAATATGTATACATAAATTAATATATTATAGAAATGACGAAACGTACAATATTGTACTATAGCGTCAGACTTCATTCTCACTATTGAAAGTCCCTCAAACAGTCCAAACGACTCAAACGTATACCTACATTATAATATTATTTGAAAATAAGACTTCGAAAATTTCAAAATTATAGGATTGTCGACTACAATATGTGAAAGGTACTTGCGATGTCCCAAATAGTGATAAATGAATACCATAGGATGGATATAATATGTATATGAGAACCATCATAAATCTAATATACTCGCTGTTGACAATAACCATAGCAATAATAAAATTGCGAATCAGTCAACCATGTTCTAGCAATTAGGTATAATAATAAAAGACCCCTCAACGGGCTCAACGCATTTAAAATTTATACTATGATTTTCGCTGTGCACACGATATTCATAATATGCTGTGTATGATGAACCTCCTTTCCATATTTTATAATACAATAATGTCTGACTGTATACTACATTGTTATGTAGGTACATAGATGAAAAACAATGAAAAATATTTATTTTTAATAAAAATTATACTATCATATTATAATTCATAGTTAAATTTTTTCGTACCTATATAAATGTATATTTATTTTTTTGTGTGCCTATAATATTATCTATTGTAGTGGAACACATGGAGTTACGTTAAGAAACATCTTTTTTCTACTGGACTTAACTGAACATCGAGCAATGTCCATTTGGACAAGGAAATTCGTTAAAGGAATGCCCCAATAAAAAAAAAAATAAAAAAAATAGTACCATATATTTATAAATATTTATAGTCATTAAAAAATTAGTCCAAACAGATACCCACTATGCCGTACATAGGTATATTACCTACACTCGTAGGTACAACAAAATATTTTTCTTGTGTAACGTGTATAAAAATATATTTTAGATTTATATTATGTAATAATTTTCTATGTATAAAATGTATGTATGTATAATACCCATCGAAATATGCACACTGAAAATTTAAACGTTTCTGTTTTTATATTTCATGTTCGTGTTACATACATACAAATACATTATACAAACAACTCATATGTAATACATGAAAAGCAATTATTCCATACGATATTCTATAGGTAACCTATTTTATACAACGTATAATCTCAACATTATGTAAAAACAATATTAATATATTTTACGACCATTAGATGTTTGGCAGATACGGAAAACTGTCTCGGGTGAGAAAAGATTTTTTCACTAAAAGTAGATACGATTTTACATTTATTTGATAATTGTAATTAAAATTAAAATGTTTTAACAATAACATAATAAAATTTACTTATTTTAGTAATTTTGACAAAATTTTACTCGTAAAAAAAAAAAAATTGATATTGTATTTTCGATATTTTTAATTGCGGTAAGAACAATGTTATTATTATGACTTTATGAGAAATTTTGCATTATTTTTTCAAACAAATTTAGGTACTTACAAGTTACAATCTAAGATTTTACTAAAAATAAGAAAAAAATGTAAATGTTTATAGGTAAATAACACAAATGATCAAACCTCTAATAGAAAATTCCATTTTTTAAATTACAACAGAGAAATAAAATTATGATCTTGACTAAAACTCCATAACTTACTGTTTGAGCGTAAAAGTTTGTATTTTTTCTGATTATTGAAAAAAAAAAAATAGTGAATTTTAATTTTTAATTAATTCACTAATCCGTTTAATACCGACTACATAGATACAAATTCTTAACAGAAATCACTCACGAAATAGTCAGTTTTAAAACGTTAAGTCGAAGCATTTTTATCATTCTAAGTGTTGTCAGATATAAAAATAAAAACACAAAATTACCCAGCATTGACAACATTGAAAAATTGATGCATTTGTAATTCGTATTTCTGCTCAAAATCAAAAATTAGATTAATTCATAATTTTTATATTTTATACTCAAAAAAAAAGTTTGCAGTGGAAAAATTTGAGAATTTTTTATGATTTAAATAATATTACCACGATTTAGAAATAAGAAAATGTTCTATTATGTAATAGATTTCATAATATAACATTCTAAATTTCTAACTTACAAATAAACTTATGAATTTACCTTTTAGTAAAAAAAAAATTTAAGAATTGAATTACTTACTTGAGTCCTAAAAAATTTTAAAAGAATTTTCAAATCAATATTATAAAAATTCTTTGACAAGCATACCCACATTATATAATATATATTATAATTATATTGAATTATAAAATAAAAAAAATATATGCAATAGAGAAAATTGTTCTGTTGCATAGAAAAATACCTATCACTTATTAAGTGTACCTCCTCATTTGAATAGGTCTAAACACTACAGCATGAATTGTAGAATTAAACGATAAACCACTACATAGATAGGCATGAAATACGGTTTTTAACTGAGAGGAACTGTCAACCATACTGCTAATGATATCTTATACATTTATATTGCTTTTCTAACTTATTTATATTATATTAGTAATATGATACTATTTAAACTGTTTTATCAAAAAGAAATCACTATGTAGCAAACTTTAAATGTTTGTTATTAATAAAATGGAAAAATACATTAAGGTTTTGGTTTGTAAGCTTTTTCTTCAAAACGCATATCAAAATTAAAATTAAAAAATATTATGTAACATAATATTCAAATATTTTATAATACTGAAAATAGTGCATATTCTATTTGAATAACCCTAAAATATATCATGTCATCTACACGAAAAAATACTTTTAAAATTACACTAGACTATAGTATTTAATTAATTAAAGAAGTATTTAAAATGACCAAGTACTACTCATTAAATTCAACATCTAAGTGTCAGGTTATGCTTAAATACCTAATATACTTGTCTATCGTTAAAAAAAAAATTAAGTTATAGGAAATATTGTATATTTATATATAAAGTAGCTAAAATTCAGGAAAACCAAAACATACTACAACTATTATTAAGTTTTAATTATTTTAAAGGGTATATTCCGAGATGATATATAGCTCTTTTAAATGTTGTATGGGTCTTTTTGCTAAAATTTAATCACTTATTGATTTTATTATATAGTTTTTATTTATAGTGACATATTGCAAGCAGATATGTGGCATAAAAATTAATAACAAAATAAATATTTTATTGTTTTCTTTTTTTTATTATTAATAAGATGTGTACAAGGAGTCAAACAATTAAAAATAAAATTTGTTTTAATCAGCGTTATCCTCTTCGTCATCATCTTCAGCGTTATTGATCTGTAACACAAACATTTTACAAATTAATTGATTTAAAATATAAAGCAATTATTATCTATTATCTCAAAATTGTAAATTAACTATTTATAATGTAAAAAAATGTATTATAACATACATATTTTTAAAGTATACAAAACAATATGCAAATATTAGCAAGAACAAATCTATTTTTTGAACTTCTTAATTTGTTGCTAAACCTATCAAATTAGATTAATATAATTGATTAGTTATTATTACACACACTAGTTACATATTAATTGAATATTTTATTGTTTTCAAATTGAGGTTACTGATTTGTTTAGCATATTATTATTTTAAGTTAATACTGAGTATCTGAAGTTGTTAACTTAAACAATTTTATTCTTAAATATAAAACCTAACCTATCTTTCATTTATAATATAATTAAAAAAATTGCTTGCCTTGGCTGATATTATATCATTAATGATTAACTATTTTATATAAGTAAAATAGCTGTCCCAACACAGCATTGCCCGTGTATTAGATTTTTTTTGGCATTTTCGTAGGCCGTGG